TTCTTCTATCAATATTCTTATGAACTTGAGCAAGGTAGAAAGATGTTACCTTATAGAAGCTTGTAGTTGTTTTGCAACTTGATCCATATACTCCATCATCTAATCCAACTTCTTCACATAAAAGTGAATTCTTTGCCATTGCAGCACTGTCGTTTTCCTCCTCCCTCAGTATCTCCTTTGTCTTGGAATGGCAATCACCACCAATATGATTCTTTGGAATATCGATAGAAGAGGTCCACAATTTCATGTCAAATGACTTTCTGCAATATGTGTCTTTTTTATGAGATGATTCTTCCAACTTGGCTTCTTCATTGTCTTGCGAATTGAGTCTCCAATGAATGAATTCGATGATTTGCAAAATAGCAAATACCAATAGCACTTATTCTGCAAATAACATCATGTTTGAATAACATTAAATTAGGACTCTAAAAATTTTTGTGAGTACTCAAATGGAAGCCTCGCATGGTTCATATAGACTTAATTCAAAATTTTGCATCCTGTAGTTATGTTAATTATGAGTTGCAAGATTTACAGCCTTCTTCACCAATATTTAGTAGAAGTCCCACTCTCCCATATACCTTTTCATGTTCCCCATTGTGAGAATTGGAGAACTAATATCACAAAAATTATATGCAAAATAGTGACAATAGGTTTACGAAATAGTTATTCACTAGTATATGCCTAAACAAACTAATGAAATTTCCACTAATTATGCGTAACTATTTACTAATAGAAAAATAACCACAAAATTATTGAACTAACATAGGAATGACTATCTTTTCATAGTTGAAGCGATTTAAAATTGACAAATTGTGGCAAGTAGACTTCAAATAATACAAGGACATGATTAGATGATGAAATCCATTCAACTAAACCAATTTTCCATATATCTATATACTGACTTTTTTCTGTAAAAATGAGAGTTGAAAAGATAAAATTGAACAAAACTTTGAAGATAATAGACCAAAACTGTTCTTTTTAATAGTGTACATATATTGTACGTGACTAATTTCATTAGAAAATTTTAATTTTTAATTAGAGGCTCTAGATTGGTTTTTTTTTTTTTTTCTGTAAAGATAAATGGCCAAAATGATTGCAGTGGTAGATAAACAACTAATCTGGCCAAGACTCCAAACATGAGGGACAATTCTCTTGTAGTGGTCATTTAACATTACAAATCCAAGTAGAATGTCTTACATTTTCAGAAAGAATGGCTCATGTTTGGGGAGTGGGGTTAGGGAGGGATATAAGATTCTGGTCACTTGAGGTTCGTTGAAAGAAGTGGTAGGTGCAGAAAAGCTTTTGCCTGGTTAATATTGAATGTTACTTCATTTAGTGCAGCAAGCAATTACTTTAAATTAGTTAGTGGCGTGTGCTAATATTACAAATGAAGGTTTCCATATATGCAGCAAATCTGCCGACATGGTTTTGTATTAACAGTACAATGTCAATAATATGCAATCAAGCACATAGAGTCTGTTCATGAGAAGCACATATTACCAAGAAAATTGATAACGACTCAGTTGTGGTTGCAAAACGTTTTTCTTCACTAACCTCCAAATAATTTGACAGTTGGACAATAATATGTTTCTTTTTTTTTTTTGGTCTATTTTGTCTAAAAAAATTGTTGGAGAAAAGTCATCAGCAATATCCTATTGTTTGTACATGTACTATTAATATTTTAGGTACCTAATGGATTATAATAGATCCCGTTACTTTTGTTCTATTTTCTTTTTTTTTTTATTTGTACGTAATTTTGTTCAAACTTGTTCCAAGTACAAATTTTACTTTTAGACTTTAGTGTTCTTAGATGGAACTCAATAAAGCAGTTAAAAAGTTTTCCGATCCAAGGTAAAAGGAAAACACCCTATGCATGTAATTGCCCCACGTCTTACATACAATGTAAGACGTGAAATAGGATATTTTTAAGGACTCATATTAGTTTTTTTTTTATTTTTGACAAAGGAATTACAAATATTTTAGAGTAGTTTATAATCTTCTAAGAAATAAAAAGACACATGTTATTTAATTAATCAAATGTGTGGATTGCAGTTTCTAAGCTAAAAGTTTTACGTTTTTTTTAATCACATTTCTTATTTATCTTTTTAATTCATATATATCGAATCACTATAATATATTTTTCGTACAAAAACTCTCTGAAAAATAGCAATCCAAACGGGTAGTTTTCCTATTTGAGTGCTTCTTTCTCTTGCCATAACCAACTATTTTTCACATATTATTTATCTAAAATATGGAAACAATTCCACTAACTCTTGAGGTTTCTTGAAAGCTTCCTTTGGTTGTCTAATTGTTTTCAATTCATATTGACAATGAGCAATTGAACCAAAAAGCACCTTTTTGTGACATCTTGTTAGATTCATCTCCGTGGTACTTGGGGTAGCTCAATAACTTCCAACAAATGTGACTACTAAGCCCCAACAATGCACCAATAAAGTCAGCTCCATCAAGTTTCAACGAAATTGAAAAAAGATTGTATACCACCGAAGCCATAATAGTATACCATCAAAGTAGTGCGCTACATTAAATTTAACAAAAGATTGTAATTTATGAGGCTAAAGCTTGTAAGATGCATATTCTTTTGAGCTTCTTGAGCATCAAGAATTTTTTATGTTATTACAAATATATATATATATATATATATGTAAAACTACTCATATAGTTGTAACTAGCAATTTTCCTTTCTTTATTTTTTCAGGTCAAACTCCCTTATCTTTTTTTTTTTTTTTTTATCAGCTTTGCAACTATTTGTTTGACTGGAATTATGTACTTAGACGGGCAATGTCCTATACAAAGTAATGTATATCAATTAGTTCGTTTAATTATCTCAGATTTTTATTTTTCACATGATTTTTGGAAAACAAATGATCTTCAATTTTCAATCTTTTGCCAAATTTTGAATATTATTTAGTAGATACTGCAAAAATGTGGGCACTAATATCCATTGATTTTAAAATCAATGGATGCTACTTTCCATAAAACCAAAACCAATCAACAAACACATTAATGTAAATGCATGCTTTCCACCATTTTTCCCATCTAGAGCCTAAGCCTAATTCAACCAATGAACTCATTCAATTTTGTTTTATGATTGTTTCCCTTAATAGTCTCGTGACCAGCAAAATTAAATAAGTTGCTCGAGAATGAATTTAACAAACTAGAAATCTCTCTGGATTATTGAAAAGCGAAGAATAATTTTTTTTGCCAAATCATATCAAATTAAAGAACTGAATTACAATTTCAAAAAAAAAAATTTGATTTACCAATTTGAACAGAATATTCAATATTCCCCGAATAAACACCAATACCAAAAAAAACAGTAAGAAATGTCTCCGTTTGAAGGGCCTCGTGATTGAGCAGTAGAGTAGAGTAGTACGACTACCAAGTGGGGAACCACACAAGATGGGAGTGGGGCCCACGTCGCGCCCGCGTCTTTATGACCTCGAAAAGTAGAGCCACGATCCTCTACACTTGCACCATGACCACACGACGGAATTTAACTTGTACTGTTCACCCTCTTTTAGCTTGCACAACCTCAACGTACAACTCTGATAGCATCAAATCAATCCAGCTCCAATCAAAAGACTGTTCCACTTGACCCCACCCCCATTCTGTCTCTTTCGCAAAGATCTCTGAAACCACTAATTTAATATTTAGTATTTAATTAAATACTAAACCTCAGTTTATCCGTTTCTTAAACACACTTTTCAGTACCTTTTGCTTTAAGGATTGCACCCCTAAACTATTCGTCATTAGCTTTGCGCGCCCTTTAGAATGATTCTAGCCGTAGAGCACCTCAAACTTTAAATTTTATGGTGAAATAGTCCAATAACCTAAATTATGCCGGAAATTAGCTAAGAGTTTTACAATTTAAGGGACAATAAGCACACTAATAAATGAATTTTAAAGGTTGTTTTTTTGTCAGTTGAAATGTTGATATATTTGTTAATCTTGTTTTCTTTGGGGAGAAAAAAAAGAAAATACTAACTTCACAAAGGCAAAAAATATATTCACTTTCAAGTTACTATCTTGAAGGGGTAATTTATGTAGTTTTAAAAATAAAATTTAGTGTCTTTTCACCTATGTAACTTAAATTTATTGTCTTTCGCATTTTGCAAGGGATAGCTAAATTTGTTTTATATCTAACTTATTGCATTACTTTAACAAAATAATTATGATTAAAGTGTTATAACACCTACAATTAGGAGTGTAAACAAATTAAAGCAAATGGAATGCTATAGTGTTCAAACTTGTTTGATTGTGTTAATGAATTTGAAATTATGTACAAATTTTTATTATTTATTTACCCAACTGAGCTCAAACGAGTTGAGTTCAAATAGTTTGAATATTTTACATGTAAACTCCAATAATCTTATGCTAAAGTTTTTGTTTAAATTTGAATTTAATTAGTTGGCGAATCAATCTCGAAACAACTCTTACCCAACCCAACTCTATTCGAATATCAACTAACTTGATTATCTTTCAGTACTAACTACAATTTATAGTTCTAGAGGCAAAGTACTAAATGCGATTAGTTTAGCAGTGAATGGTACAATTAGCCTTTTATTTAAATCTCGTCTGTTTTATATTTACATTTGTGAATGAGTTTGAAATTATATTTAAATTTTTATTATTTATTTACTCGACTAAACTCAAACGAATTGAGTTCGAATAGTTTGTATATTTTATATGTAAACTCTAATAAGCTACTCGAACAAAGTCTGATTTTGATTAGTTAATGAACCAATTTCAAAAGAACTCTTATCTAGTCTAACACGATTCCAATATCAGCTAACTAACTTGATCGTCTGTCACCTCTAACTACAACTACAATTTTATATTTCTAGGGGCAAAGTACTAAAGGCGATTAGTTTAGCGGTGAATAGTGCAATTAGCCTTTTTTATTCAAATCTCGCCTCTTTTACATTTGTCTTCTTCTGATACATTTGTACATTATTGTATTCTTCCCCCATACAAATTCTCTCCCTTCTTTCTCTCTCTTCCTCCGTCCTCTGTCCCTCTTCTGTCTCCCTCCACCAGAACAAATAATGGAGGAGCAACTACACTCTCAACTCTCCTGCCATACTAGCAGTACATTTTAGCTCTCTTACGACGTCGTTCTACGTCTACTTCAACAAATGTGAACCCCTTTTTTCCTTCATTTTCATTTTTTTTGCCTTTTCTTTCTCTTAACTCCAACAAACTTTGCTGCTGCTGCTTGTGATCTGACTTCTGAGTCCTACATTGCCTGTAAAAGATAAAGTCTCGGACTTCAGGTGAGTTTCGTCTCTTTATCTTCTTTTGTCTCAGCTTTTTCTTGTTCTTTTTCAGTTTTTTTTTTTAAATTTAATTTAAAATTTTGAGGTTGTCTGAAAAGATAAATGAATGTGAATCTCTAGATTTGACTATGACTTTTCTCTGTTTGACTCTCTACTTTATATTCTTCTGAAAATTGCAGTTCTAACTGGAAAAATTCCTTGAATTTTACGTCCATTTCTGAAGCTGCATTTGCTGGTAATGCTGACCTGCTGTAGTGTTTCGTACTAGGGTTTATACAGTTGTTTCTTTTGGTGTTCTGTAACGGTTTAATAATAATGCGGAGATTTGAATGATTTGAAATTTATTTTTGCAGTAAATTTTCATTAAATGTGGGCGTGTGTGTGTGGTTTTTTTTTTTTTTTTTTAAATTCTTGAAAGGTTTGCGACTTCTTGAATTCTAAGCCTTGTAACGGATGCAGTTTTCGTTTGTGGATTCTAGCAATTTTTAGAACTAATTCTAGTCATCTGTTTTGAAATTTAAAATTTAAATAGTATTGTTAAGAGTTGTAAGTATAAATGGCTATTTTAGTTTGTGATTCTTGAAATCTAGGTAAATACTCGGATCATTAATCAAAAACTTTACTTCTTTTACTCTTTCTTCTTCCCTTCTCATTTTTTTTTTTTGTTTTTAAAGAAAAAGTAATCTTCAAGACTCTTCCAAATGCACACAAAACACAATGTACATAAAGTTTAATCCTTGCTGTTAAATATTCATAATAAGAAATGTACGTTTTCTTTGAGTTTTTTTTTCTTGATTTCAAAGAGATGTAGGTTTTCGATTATTTATTTATTTGATTTGTTTTTGTGAACAATTTCTATTTTTTTTCTTTGAAATTTTTTTGGCTTGTGATGGGTTCTTAGTGTTTGGATTTTCTATTGTGTGGGCGTGAACAGAAAAGAATAAAAATGATGGAGCAATATGAAGTACTGGAGCAAATTGGGAAAGGGGCGTTTGGTTCTGCCCTTCTTGTGCGTCATAAACTCGAAAAGAAGAAGTAAGTTTGCTTAGAACAAGCAACATTGCAGCTTACATATTGCGCACTTGATTTTCTGTTTAAGTCCTTAATTTTTTTTTTTTGCGCTACAATACATACAAGATTTAGTTTGTTTTGTTAGACTTATTTTAATTGGTTTTTGTATAAATTTGTAAATTTGAAGGTATGTATTGAAAAAGATTCGTCTTGCCCGCCAGACGGATAGGACACGCCGAAATGCTCATCAGGAGGTTGGTGTTATTGATACTGATTACTTTCTTTTATTACTCGGTGGATTTTCTTAATTTGTTCTTCAATTTTCTGGATTTTGATGTCTCCTGATCTTCCTTGACATGTTAAGAAATCCATTGAGCAATGCTTATTTATGCCTTACAAGTATGCCCCTTGTTTTCCTTAAAAGAGGTATTAAGCTTATCCTTGAGGATGAATAATAAAAGATACTGCAGTTTCTCAAGACTAGGAGATCATGTATTAGATCCTTTCTCAAATGTGGTCAAGTAAATATACTTACAAGATAAAAGTCTCCCATGTTGCCAAAAAGTTGTTCGCTATATGTTCTGCCACTGACATTGTAATGTGTGTTTGATGAACAATATCTTGAGCACAGCTGACTGATCTTTCCTCTTTCTCTTTGTAGATGGAGCTTATCTCCAGAATGCAAAATCCATTTATTGTGGAGTATAAAGATTCCTGGGTGGAGAAGGTTAGCAGACTGTAGTTGTTACTCTTGGTTACTTTTGGTAGATGTAGGCACCTACTTTTGTCCCTCCCTTTTTTTTTTTAAAAAAAAAAAAAATGAGAGTTGGGAGTATGTCTCTAATTTTTCTTTGATGTTATTTTGTTTTATCATTTAACTAATTTGAAATAGTTAGTAAATTTTCTCATCATTTTATAGTTATTTTCTTGCCAACCGCTGCATTTCTATGTGCTTCCTTGAAAAATCCTCACAGTAGTACACCTTCATGATTGTTGACTCTTTCAGTTTTCCGGTTTTCTTTGTTTCTGGTGCCATTATCTTACACAGCCTTTGATTGATATTTCACAAGGTTTAGGGTCACAAAGGAAATTTTGCATTCAAAGTTTTGATTTCTTATATGACAATGTGAAAAACTGGCTCTTTTTTGCACCTTTTAAATTTTGCAGATATTTTGATTATCTTAACCTCCATTAAATAAACTAGTCTCAATTCTTTGTTAGGAGATAAGTGCTAAATTTGTTTTTGACAAGAATTTTGGTTGGCCTTATTAATTGCATTTGAAGTGTATGAGTTCTATCCTTTTTCCTTTTTATGAGAAGATATCGACTATGATAACAAATTTAATTTATTTGATGTAGCTAATTCTAAGTTTTATCATTTTGGAATTTCATTGACTCTTGTCAAATCCTACAGAAATAGATATACATGACCAATCTTGTACTGGTGGAGATATTATTCTATCACTTTGATTCGTAACTCATATTATCCACTTTAAAAAATAAAAAATAGTGCTAGAATTATCCCCATTTAAAGTTGTTATCACTAGTGCTGGAGTTAACTTGGGCTTATATTTCACATTGCATTTAAGATCATGTAATCAGATTGAGCTTGACACATTTTGGTGCTTTTGTTACCAGGGATGCTATGTCTGTATTGTAATTGGTTACTGTGAAGGTGGAGACATGTAAGTAGTTATAAAGCTTAAAATGCAATTTGTCATTCTTTCCATGTAGTGTAGATGTAATCTTTCGCAGTATGGTCATCGGAAACCTCTTGTGAAATTTCCTGTTTTGCAGGGCCGAAGCCATTAAGAAAGCGAATGGTGTACTTTTCCCAGAAGAGGTTTCTTTTTTGTAGTTGCACAGCATTCTTTTTGTACATTTCTTCCTCTAGCAAGTGCATATATATGTGCAATAAATGCAGTCTGTATTTTTTGTATTTTTTGATCATCTATCTCTAGGTGCACCGTCAACTCTAACTCGTATTGTCAACTCTTTACAGAAACTTTGTAAATGGCTTGTTCAGCTCCTTATGGCCCTCGATTACTTGCACACGAATCACATTCTTCATCGAGATGTCAAGGTAGCTGCATTTACTGTTTCAATAATAGTTGTAAAGTCAAAACTTTTCAGTAACATTGTACAGTAATTAGTAAATTTTGTGCATTCTGTGCAGTGTTCCAATATATTCTTAACAAAAGAGCAGGACATTTGTCTTGGTGAGAAGTTCATGTCTTTTACTTTATATTTTATTTGGATAGCTGTAAGAAATCTTAGTAAAATATGAGCAACAATCCATTGTTGCAGGTGACTTTGGACTTGCCAAGAGGTTGAGTTCGGATGATCTTGCTTCCTCTGTAAGTAAAATGGGTGAACTGTTTATTTTTAGGATATCAGCTTTACTTTCTGTTAATGCGTTTTGTTGATTTTCTACTTTCAGATTGTGGGAACTCCCAGTTATATGTGCCCTGAGCTTCTGGCTGATATACCATATGGTTCTAAGTCAGACATATGGTCACTTGGTAAGCAAAATATACGGTTGTCAAGTACAATACGAAAGAAAATGGAAAAAATAACAGATAATTTTCTATCTTACCATATATTACATTTCAAGATAAACTTTTGCTGATTGCTATCAAAATCTTGGCATCCAGGATGTTGCATATATGAAATGAGCGCGCACAAACCTGCTTTTAAGGCTTTCGTAAGTCCATTTTTTTTCCATGTAAAGCAGTTTAGTTGGTTCATGAATTTTTCAAGCACCGATAAGTATAGGTTACCAAATATCTCATACAGTTTTGCAAGGTCAAGGGAAGACTGACATGATAGAAGAACCTATTGAACTTCTTTTCCATGCATATGAAGACAGCAAATTTTCACAGACCATCGTATTACATTTTATCCTAGGCTAATTTGGAAGCTTGGATACTTCCATTTTATTGGACGCTTCTTATAATCTAGTTAAGATAGAAGCTGAATGTAGTTAAATATAGTTCTTTGTATTTTTTTTCTTGGCAAGAAAATATTCTGTTCAAACTCTGCCTACATGGCCTGCAGTCAGTGTGTTGTCATGTATAAGTTAGGCATTTTGGTTTTGTTTTATCCTTTTTTCGTCAAAGATAGTCAATGAAATTGATTATAGTTAACTGGACATTCTTCTGTTGGATGTAGTTCAAGTGAAATAGTATCATCCTAGATTAGTGGTACAATAATGCTGCAGAAATTTCTATGGCAGCAAGAAGTTATTCAAAAACTAGAAAAGCCCCTACCATACACACACAAACTATCAGTGTTTCAAAATTGCACAGATGGTCTCTCTCTCTCTCTCTCCTGTCTCGTGCGTGTGGTTTTCGATCCTTTAAGTCTGTATTGCTATCTCTGTGGGACTCATATTCATTCTTAAAAGTTCTGACTTTGTGGCATCAAGCCTTTCATTGGCTTGTGAGCTAGGATAGTTCCTCAGGACTACTAAACTTAGATTTCTAACATGTAGAGTGCTCTATGGCTCTAAATGAATTAATAACATATCTAATGTTGACTAATCATGTGCTCTTGCAAGTACTTGGTTTTGTCTCACTTCTAGTTTCTATTGATTGTTCCTTGCTTATGCTTGACACATTACATTTGACTCTTTAATTTGCAAGTTAAGCATTGGTGCAGATAAGCCGTGTCTCTGTGACAATGGAAATACTTACACTTCCTCCAGTTTTCCTTGTGGATGACTCTTATAGTGTATCATTGGCTTTTGGCAATTTACTCTCTTGGCTTGGTAGCTTCATATCAAACCAAATATGAGAATTTAGCTTATCAGCATGTTTGTTTGAGGTTTCAGGCAACTTACCGAATTTTTTTTTATGGAGTAGGATATGCAGGCACTGATCAACCGAATAAACAAGTCTATTGTGGCACCTCTTCCTGCACAATACTCTGGTGGACTGTAAGTTCCTTCTTTAAATCTCTCTGTTTATTGTCCAACGGCGTTCTTCTATTGGACAACCTACTAGAATGAATTTGCTTACTTTTTAATAGAGTGAATTATTCATCTTAGATTTATTTCATTTCTAGTAGGATGGTTGTGAAATATCTGATTAATATTGTTTGATATAAAATTTTATCTTGGGCTGCAATAAAGAATTGCTTCATTTTTATTTTCTACTTTTGTTATTGTTTACTATTATTTAATTGTGCTTAATGACTGACAATTGCTTTGGTTATTCTTTTGTTTTTGTTTGCAAAACTTGGTTTGCCATGCAAATTTGCCTTTGTCATTGACTGACATTTCTGTGATGTGAATTACAGCCGTGGTCTGATCAAAAGCATGCTGCGGAAAAATCCAGAACTGCGACCAAATGTAAATTTCATTCTTATTGCTGCAATTTGTATATTAATTAACTTTGATAAACAAGTAACACAACCATAAAAGTAATCCAGCAACATTATTTGATGGAACATGGTGCCATTTTAATTATTTTTCTTTGTCTGTTTCTGTCTTATGTTTTCTGAGTCCTGGATTCCTGGCTGCTTGCTTTCAAATTTTCTAGGTTCTACCTTGAAAATAGTACTGTTTCTTCCCTTTTATTTGCATTTGAAAGTATGTAAGTCATATATATTAGGAAATGCTCTGGCTTATCCGTTAAGCATTACTTTTTTCCGGCAGTGGCATGTGATACACAATTTTTTCTGTTTTTGTGTCTGAAAATCCCAAAATTTTCTAGTCAGTAGCTAGGCCTGGACATTTGGTAGAATCTTGGTTTTTACGGGAAATATCTCTTCAATCAAATTAGTTACTCTCAAAAAATGCTGGAAAAGTAGTACTCGGATAATTTTGATAGCATTTACCTTCAAATGCTGCTTTGTATGTTTTAATTTTGAAAATTTTTTCCCTTTTAGCATTTTTTATTTCCTCCCTATTCTTTCACTTTATAATCTAGCCATTCCTTTTTCCTAAGTTAGACAAATGCATCACCGGATGCCAACAACATGCTTCTTCCTTTTAATTTGTTTCTTATGCTTTGCATGAAAGCGGCAAAGAAAAATGATTTCATCAAGCTCGACTCAATAACCTTCTGCATTCATATTCTGTGAAACAAATGCATCTCTTGTTTTTTCGCTTTGTCAATTTAGTTTCTCAATTGATTGGCTATTTACTGAAAGTAGATATTCAAAGGGTACTTGTCCATCAAGAAAATGTGCCTTTCATTTAATATGTATATTTTCCCTTGCAGGCTGCAGAACTTCTTAGGCACCCACACCTTCAGCCTTATGTGCTCGATATTCATCTCAAACATAACAGCCCTAGGAGGAACAGTTTTCCTATACACTGGCCTGAGACAAATTACATGAAGAAAAACAGATTCTCTGCGCCAACAAAAGCTGCTATTTCTACTTATCGGGAAAAACGGTTTTCCTTTGGTGGTGACAGGACTTTAAACCCTAGTGTATCTGAAGCTGAGCATGACTATCCTTTTTCAGACCAAACAATTAAAAACAACCCTAAGTTTCTGGACAGAAGAATGGAAGAGGTGTCGGTTGATAGCGTGCATGAAGTGACATCTGTCACTAAAAGGATAACTTCAAAAGTTTCTAGCGTATCAAAGAACCAAAAAATGAGTGTGACAAAACCTTCTTCTACTTCCAAAAGACCGGGAGAACTCTCTAAAAACCGGGAACTGGTAAGATCAACAGGAAACTTATTTCAGATAGACAGCCTTTATTTTGATGGATGGAAAATTTTAATTCTTGTACCTTTCCCTTTCAATATTCTTTCCAGTTCACTTCTACCAACTTTTTGTGTTTCCTTCCATCTGAATCTGCATGATCATATTATCTGACCATCGTAATAGCATATTCAGATCATGCTGGATGCCGTATCTTGTTAAACACTGGACTAGATTGTAGATTCATACCCTATTTAATATTTTGAAAAGGGAACCTTCGGGGCGGGGGGGAGAGGGTTGTGTGAACTGACTTGCATCTTACTTGTCAAGGTATTCAACTGTTGGTCAAGCATGTTGTTGCCCAGAAATGGAGTGACTTTCAATCTCTTTTGACATCAACTCTATATGCGATTGTGTCCTTTTATCTCCTGAAGATGCTAATTTTCTTTTTTTTCTAAGTCAACAATATCATCTGAAAGTTCCAGTTGGCCATATTTATTGTGCATTTCCATTTATAACACTGAGCCTTCCCTATATGTTAAATTTTATAATGAGTCAGCAATTGTGCAGACGAACATCTTTAACATCTTTGGTGTACGTCTGTGCTATATATGCACAAAGTTAAGCAGGGTAGTGAGACTACAACTCATCTATTACTGACATAAATGCCCTGTGCTTTTTGTAACTTCCTTCATGCTGTAACATTGTTAGTTGTTAAATGCTGATTGATGCAGCTCCTGGCTTCAAGAATTGCTGCGAAAAGATCTGCTTTTTCTACTCGTAGAGCTTCTTTGCCTTTGTCAAGTAAAGGTGAAGTTCGAGAATCAGGCCGCAGACCCAGTCTTGGTATACTTGACTGTGTTAACTCTCCAGATGTTTCTGTCAATGCTCCCCGGATTGATAGGATGGTTGAGTTCCATTTAGACTCTTATGAGGATTCTATTATTCCCATTCGTAGAGCTTCAACGGCCTCTGTACAAGGTTCCTCCAACTCACCTCAAGGTGAACGATCAATAATGAAGGATAAATGCACAGTTGAAGTTCTGGACAAACCACTTGGTAGCTTAAGTTTTGCAGATGCTTGGCAAGGATTTGAAGGCCCCAAACTTGCTCTGGATAGGGAGGCTGTAAGTGAATGTTCTGACCAAAATGCCACGGCTGGTGCTTCAAGCCGTACCTCATCAGACTTAAGGCGCCGTCGTTTTGATATGTCATCACATCAACAACGTGCTGAAGCTTTGGAAGGTTTGCTTGAGTTTAGTGCAAGATTGTTGCAAGAGGAAAGGTTTGAAGAGCTTGGCGTCTTATTGAAGCCATTTGGTCCAGGGAAGGTGTCTCCAAGGGAAACAGCCATTTGGTTGACCAAGAGTTTCAAGGAAAACACGGCAAAGCAGGAAGACCAACCCTTGGTCGCCCAACCTATCTAAAACTGTTGCTGCTATTAATTGTAATGGCTAATTAGCGTTTTACAAACTGAGGTGTAGGCAGTAATAGGCAGTAATCTCAGGTATAGGCAAGAACTTGTAATGTTCTGGGTTGTATGGTATAGGCAGGATTCTAACTAGGAGCGGACATATTTTTATGTTGTTAATCTGGAGGTCTTAATTGGGAAGTGGTGAATGAAATGCAGGAACTTGATGCTGTGATGCTGTGTTTCTTAACCATTTTGCGTCATGAATACTTAAGATCCATCATGTAGGATGACAATATGAAGGCACATAGAAATTTCGAACTTAATTTGTGCTTACTTTCTCTCTTTATCTAGACATGCAAATGAGATGTCCCCTTTTCTGCCATCTACGGTACATTAGCACTCACCAACTGACTAAGTCTACGTACGTTCCAACTGAGCTCAAATGTTGGAATTCCTGCTGATAGTTGTGAGGAGTAAGGTTGTCTTGTATTTTGCCACATGAAACAAGAAAAAGAGTTTGAAATGGAAACTTCTCACTTCACATCGCGCTGTTGACTCTATAATTTTTTGCCACTTAATCTCTATCTTTTTAAGCTGAAAGTGGAGATGGACCCCACCAGACGGTAGAAGATCATCATCGATAAAAGATTAATTTTTTTTTTTTGGTATCTTGGGCCGATTCATGTGCTGGAGAGTCGATCCTTGCACCTCCTGTATTTTGGATTGATTCATGTGTTGGGAAAGAAGGTTATTCCCTTCTAACACTTGATCCCATTACTGTCGTCCGATACCCTTTCATAACTCACAGTTTTTTGTATGAGTGTTTCGATAAATGGACTCTGCGAAGACACTTCAAAAGCCGGCAACTTTTGAAGTGCTCCGCAGCACTTAACTACTAAACCCCCCAAACCCCCCCAAGCGATGTGGGAACTTAACCCCACAGGGTGCCCCGCTACTGTCGTCCGATACTGGTTTCACCAAAAGAAGTATACTACTAGTCACTGGTCAGAACTCCATTGAAAAGTAGCAATAATAGCAAAATTTGACGGCTTCAGCAGCCATTTAACGAGTCTCATTTCTGTGTCAGAGAATTTCAGAATGTACTACATTATTTTAAACTGATGACTACATTATTGCATCCGCGGATTGTTGATGGCTGCAGCAGTTTAAATTTGATTCAGCTGTCTTGGGAAGGTTAGTATAGGTTCTTGGGAGGCTGCAGTGGAATGATGAAATCAATATGCATAAAGATCTTAGGAATTAAGTAAAACATGTTGCCAAGTGTTCATGCACTACATATTTTGTTGTTGTGCTTTAAAATAGTGTTGTCTAACTGTTTGAGTTTTTAGATCAGGTGATAATTCGACCAAGTACTGTTTTGACCAAATGATAGTACTACTGTGATCTCTCAATTAGAAAACAAAGTTTCGATCAAAAGTTTCCCAATCTGCTTAACAGGTCACTAGCCCCTAGAAGTATTAGCCAAATACCTAGAACATGCCTCAAATGGATTTAAAGTCTTCTCAAAGTTGGAATTGCAATTTGCTACACTCGAATGATCTGCATGACTACCGTTTACTTGCTTTGCAGATCGATAAAGCTTGATGAACCATGGATGCTGATTTTCTTGCTCATCGAATTCTGAAGGTGAAGGCATATATTGCTCCTGAACTTCAAGGGCGACGTTTACACCTCGCACTGATGTTGATTGCTTGTTTTTTTGTACGGGGCGCCATTTTTTTGGCCTTTGCTTTGGTTCACTGTGTGACCTTGCTTTTGCCTTTGAAGATGCTGTGTTGGACATGTAACCTCGATTTTCATGAGAAAGTGGAGCAGTGGATGCCTGCAGTTTTATTTGTTTTGTTTTGGACAGATTGGTGGAGCTCGTTTCGGTCACTGTTGCCGGTGGACTACAACATGTCTGGTCAGGCTGATCTTCTTGCATGTTTATTGGAAACCGACCAGAGTGATATGTGGTGACGACTCCAAGTTCCTTTCTTTCGGCTTGTGAATAATGTAAGGGTCCGCTTTTGCTCTTCATACTTGTCCTCGTCTCATGAGCATTTACATCCTTTCTATCCTACATTTGAGTGATCAAACGGCTTGTTATTTATTGCTGCTGAATACAACAAGACACTTAACACCAGTGGCACACGTAGGAAACAAATATCGCTATATATGCTCCTAGAATTATATAAATATAGTATACGTTGAAGAAAAGTAGGACAATGAGGTTGCCTAGTTGAATGTGTGAGAAGATCCCATCTATGTTCTGGTGGAGACATGGAGATAAATTTAGTGTACACATCACGTCGATTTCTCAGCTGAGTGGATGAACTAATTTAATTACATTTTGTGAAATCAGTAGGATTTGTTTAACATCAGATTTGGTGGTTTGTCCTGGAGTATCTTTGTCCAACATTATTGGTTACTTGGTTTGGTAAAATCTGATTGTATCAGGTTTATCAGCTGAGCTGACATATAACAGTTCTATACTGAAGAGAAAATCCAGTAGATTTGAACGAAGAATTTGAGTGGAAGAACAAATCCTACAAAATGCAGAACCTGATGGATGATCATCCAAAGGGAAGGTGAGAAAATAATCCAGAAAAGGCCTTACTGTACTATTTCGAGCTGATTCTCCATGACCTGATCTTTTTGTTGCAAGCTCTGCTCCGGCCTCAACCATCTGAACTCTCCTATACCGAGCTCTAACTTGGATAGTCATCAAAGCGTGCATGCTCCTCAGAACTGCAGTTGTTTGTTTTCTGACCAGGTGACCCCTTACCAATGCTTGTAACTTCACCAGTCCCCGTAAAGCACACAATGCTTTTCTTGCCTGCAGAAAACGATCAGATCATTGTGAAAGTGTTCGTATGTCTGGATTTTAATCAGATTATCGTAAACACATTCATTTGATCTGTTGACAAAAGGGGGCATCCAACCACTAGATTATCTAACAAACCAATGGAAAAAACTTTAGAAGCTCAAATTACACATACCAAATAAGAACGAAATGCAGCCTGAATTTTGATCGCAGCAGCATCTTTGAGGGGCCCTATAGCTTGTGAAACAGGAGTTGTAACAACCGGCATTGTTCCATTGACTTGCTTGCTAGTTGTTACTAGGATTGCCTTAAAACGAATTTGCTCAATTTCATGCTCCTCTAGGACCTGTTTTGCCAGGTGGGGAGTAGAGATTGAGTCAAATGACAGATTGCGACAAGTGACTTTGTCTGTGGTGGTTGATTTCTTGAAGCTCCATCTCCTCTTCTCTTTTGTAACTGATAAGATTGCTCTTGGACTTCCTAAGTTACTTACCTCTGTGGCAACTGAATTCACTCTTTTCTTGTGCTTGCCTTTCTCCTCCCTTTTGCCTAACAAAAAGTTCCGGATCCATTTTCCTGCTATACCCATCCTATACCATCAAAGCCTTAAACAGTAGGGACAAATGAAGTAGAAACGAAATAAAAAATGGCCTAGAGAATAAAGGGATGTCTACAAGCAACAAAATCAATAGCTAAAATGATTGAGACTTCTATATAACTTGAACAGAAAGAGCTTGAACACAGAATTGATGGCTAATAAAAGGTTGATGTCTCAACCTTTCTTAATTTGTCTACGTTGTTGAATATCCGGCCTTTATATTCTTCTGCTACAATAGCAATTATATAGGGTTTGCAATAGCGTTAAACTTCGACTTTTCTGCTAACCCAAAAATCAAACAAGATAATTTTGGTGGAGAATACTGGTCCTTGTTTTATTTGTTTATGGCTAAGGCCTGCATAGACTTCCCCTTGTGATGCCAATTGACACATTTCTATGGATTCAAGGGTGGATGTGGTTTCTCAACGACTGGAAATCAGTTTGTTCTTTGTTTTTAGTACTTGTTGCTTTTAGAACTAAACTACCTACGTCTTCTTCATTCAGGGATGCAAAGAAAAGCCAAAAAGGAAAACTAAAAGTCTCCTCTTAAAGAGGGAGAAGTTTCCAGTTATGTCCAATTATGCAATACCAAGATCTCCGATCTCCATTTATTTGTGTAGAAGCGAATTTGTGTAGTAGAGACTAGAGACAATGCGGATCAAAGTTATGCACGGAAACTGAAACAAGTACCTTAGATGCTTAACTAGGTAACTAAATTCATTTGCAGCAGAGGAACGAAAGCCTAGTCCTTGCAGCAGTTCCATTTTTATTTATTTATTTTTTGTTTTGGGCAAAGACTAGGAAGAGGGGATGCTTATCCCAATTCTCAAGTCAAAGCAAACCACTGGTGTATTTTCGACTTATAGATTACTTACCAATGAAATCATTGAGTTTTGATCTAATGGTCAAAGAGAGTCTCTTAGATTTCTCTCGAGAGCGTAGTAGTGCACTTATGTGATTTGAAGGGTTCATTCTTCAATTCTTACAAGCCCAGTTGAGTTTCCCCTCCTCAGTAGTATAGGAGTAGTATTGTAGATTGTTGACAAAGATTACTTACCAATGGGATCTTATTGATAGTGAGAATCAAACCAAACATTCCTCTATAGTATAGGAGTAGAGTAGATTATTGAAGTTAGTCACAAAAAAAAGAGGGAATCAAACCAATCTTCCCTTAAACAAGCCTTACTAGCTTAGCCAATCCCATTGGCAATTGCCTTTTATAGTCATTGATAAGCTACAGTTAGCAACCATTTTATAGTCATTGATAAATGAGAGTCCAAATATTGGACAATCTCTCCTCCAATTGTATAAAAAGCTCTTGTATGTTAGTATTCTAAGAAAATCATGGTTTGTTTTAGATACCTAGTTTAGTGATACCGTAAGTTGTTGCAATTAATTTTAGCAAAACTTAAATCTAAAAGATAAGAAGGGAACGACAGTTTAACTTTAAATATCAACCACATGGAAGATACATGCCAAACACAAATCCAGACACAATTTGATTTTGACTTTAAATGGTAAGTTATACAGAGCTAGATTGGTAGGAGTATTACAAAAGTGATCAGATGTACATGTATCTATCAACAATAACTGCCAATTTAGGCTAATTTTTCCTTCACACTTTCCTATTGGTGTGACTTAATATTATCTTTAGTTTTTGTCTTGTGACATTCTGGGAGATGAAGATAGTGAAGCACATTACAAACATAATGAAAGATTAATCTCAATTAAGACCTTTACACAATTTTTAAATTTGATAAGGTTTGGAACTGAACCGGGACACGAACGATTGCTAGTTAAACCAGTCAGACCCGTGATCCAGTCTGAATATGAAAACATTGCTCGTATTTGAAACAAATGGTCCAAAACCCATCATTCACTATTAACAAAATCAATTTCTGCACTAGCAGTATGTTCTTTTACACAAGAAAGATTTTAATAGAAAATGCTGCTTGCTACTGTATATGAGGCTATTCTAGAAGCAATAATCCTCTTCCTCATGTTTATTCTATGAATACAAAATCTATCCTCTGTGAAAATAATTAAATAACTACATCACAATCAATATCAAGCAATTATGTGTAAACATAACTGGTAAAGTGATGCCAAACTGAGGCAACACACTATTGAAATTCCTATTTCCAGAGTAGTATAGCACCAGATATCAGCAAGATTCCCATCCATTGAAACTTCCATGGTAAAATTGATGTAGCTGAAAATTTTTTCAAACAAGAAAGAGTGAGCATAAATGTCAAATCCAATTTCAGTTTTCTTGAATAAGGCTAGAAGAAAAAGTTAATCAGAAACAAAAATTTCAAGATGCATTTATTCTAAATAATACTACAAGTTGTCAATGCATTAAAGTCGGGGATTTAACACAACAAAATGGGACCCTTTTTTTTTTTTGGGCAAATTCCGTACACGAGGTGGGATGCTAGCCCAAATTTTATTAAAATAAAAATTAAGCTACAAAATGGATTGAGCTCCTTGCGAATGACAATAAGATGGTGTAAATTTCATTGCTGCTTCTCCAGACCATTAGCTTAAGCATGTCTACCACGTTTTTTTTTTTTTCACAAGTTCAATCTTTAAACTGGAGCCCGTAATGGGAATTTTTAGATTTATAGAGCATAATAAGTGTCTATATGATAAACATTGTTTTCATCTTATTCTTACTTAGTGATTGTGCTTCAAATATTGAAAATTTTTATAATATCAGTTGACTTGCCATGGACACGGGGCAGGAGTGGTCATCAGGCTGACCGCTCCTGAACGGTTTCCTCACAAGGCCCAACAAATGGACCATAATAAGCCACGTCAGGAAGGCTCCAGTAGGGCTAGAACAACACCGTGTTGAGGAGAAACGGGAAAAACAAAAAGAAAAAAAGTTGACGGACCGTTTCATGAAGTGCTGGTCTATTACCGCCCAAATGAATCCTCCAAATGAAAAGCTAAGTCGCGCTCCCTTCAAAATAATTGCCCATATTCATTAATGCAAAATTCTACAAAACAGAGCAAGAAAGAAAGGCAAAGGCAAAATAACATTGCAGAATTGGAAATTGCCAGGTAGTATACAAGGGATAGCAAGAAGTAGCAGAAATAGAGTGGCTGCGAAGGAAAATCATGGCGAGAAGAAGCAATAAGTAGTGGCAGAAGGAGAGAGTTTAGGATTGGTACTCAAATATCAAAAGACTTGAGAAGGTGAACGGGAATTGTGGAGTACAAGGTTGGGAGATCCGGAGAAGAGATAAAGCAGAAGAAACACAGGTAAGAAAACATCAATGGTATCAGATAAATTGTGGATCGATTTGACTTGTAGTTATCTTTTGTTGTATACATTGTTGTGAACAAATGGGCTGATTATACTTGCTGCAATTTTAGTTGAAGTAATTATTTAATACAGTGAAAAATGGATAATACACTGGAACCTTCAGTTGCACATAATAGATATTATAATTACCAACACCGGGAAAGAAAGGTACTGAAAATTTTGCATACCAAGTGCTTGCAAAATTGTTTGCATGGGTTGGGGATTGTTATGGTTATTGTGCATGAGGTTGGTGTAGGTTTTGTTACATAACAGTGGTTGAATGGAGATTAAACATGATATGAGGTTCTAAGATGGTACATACTGTTGACAGAAACATACAAAGTGAGGTGAAATGGTTACAAGATATTTCATTTAAAGGCGCCGTAGGAGAGAAGATTATAATGCGCTAAGTAGGAGAGAATATTATAATTTGACAGTAGCAGGTAGAAAGTATGCCAAATTGCACAGTTTGGTATACTTAATGTGGAAACAAGTTTATAAGTCTTGATAGGTATTGTGTTTGCACATCATATTGGACAAATCATTTATGCAATGAGTCACTAGTGACACCTTCAGAATGGTGTGTAAAATTGCCCCAACAAATGATGAAATTGCAAGAATGTGATTGTCACTCCACTGGAATTGTATACTAGCACAGTGCTTAGATAGACAAGTTTATTGCATGGAACTAAATAAGTAGGAGAGTAGGTTATAATTTGACAATGTGTGGCAGAAAAAATAACAAATTGTGAAGTTTGACATACTCAGTGTGGGAAAACGGTTATGAATCTTGTTAGTTATTGTGGGTACACATCATGTTGGATAATTGTTACACGCAGTGATTCAATAATGACAATATTAAAAGTGTTGTGTAAAATTGGCTGAACATACATTAAAATTGTTCCACGGATTTGTTACTTCATTTGTATTGTTGAATACCGTGATAAATAAAGGAGAAATTGATTGCATCGATCTTGACAGGTAGGAGAATAAATTATGATATGACTAAATTAGGCATAATTAACAAGAAACTTTGCACGGTGGCAAACAAATTGTGAAAAGAAGATTACTAATACAATAGTTGTTGTGGTTGGACATCATGTTTGATAGTTGCCAATGAAAATTCAATCTTCGCTGTGACCATTTTATTTATTGCCATAGAACTTACCGTTATAGAACCTATGCCAGTAGTACAAATGTTAAATTAAGAACTGTCACTAAAATGTAGTTTTACTGTATACACATGTATTGTTTTCCATTCTTGAGAGCATGTGGCTCATTTATGGATTGATAATGTCGTGATGTAACTGCAGGTTGAGCTAAACGAGCTGTATAACATTGCTGTTAATAACCAATGAAGGATATTAAAGATTGCAGAAATACGGTGTTCTCATTCGAGAGCAAAAGCTTCCACTTCTGGGCCTGAAGCATTGGACAAAGGAAAAAAATCTATACAAGAGGACTATACAATGCACACGAGTCTTGATACCGAAGAAGAGCTAGAATTTCAATCTGTTGAAAAAGGGGGCAACGATGAAGATGATGATGCTGATGAAATTGATGCGGAAGGGTCTGAAGAAAATGAGCATAATGCAGCGCAGTATGAAGAAAACGATGTAATTACGAGGACAAATATTGAAGCCAGAGAACTCCCAGAGCTGAATGAAGATGTAATGGACATGGAGAATCCAATTTATACCTCATCAGTCGTGCCTAATAACATCAGTCAGAAATTGCAACAAGGGGCCACTATGACAACAACTGAGCAAGGAAGCAACAGTGTGTTTGAAAAGTGTTACAAAATAGTTATTGAAAAGTTACGGTATGTTTGAAGAGTATTACAAAATAGTTATTGTAGTGTTATAGTGTTTAAAAATTAATACAGAACTGTTATTGTTATTGTTAGTTACAGTGTGTTTGAAGAGTGTTACAAAATAATTATTGGTAAGTTACAGTGTATTTTAAAACTGTTACAAAATAGTTAATGGAACATTAAAGTGTGTTTGAAAATTAATACAGTGGTGTTTGAAGACTGTTAATTATAGTGTGTTTGAAAACTGTTACAAATTGGTTTACAGTTTGTTACATAACAATAGATATGAAATCATATGAAATACATGTTCTACGCTTTTTAGGAGGTCTTGACATTGAGATAAAGCACAAGTCTACACGTGCAACAAAGAAGAGCACCGTTCTGCAGTCAACCGAGTACATTCTACCAGCACATGTGACAGTAAAAATGTAACTGCATTCGAGATTGTAACATCGGAGCCTTGTAACATAATCACCTTGCTACTTTCAAATATTATGTTTATTGAGCTTAACAAGATTGTATGGTCCATGCGCTGGATGTGAGTAAATAGATTCCATTCCTGTGATGTACTAGTTGGTCTCATATATGTTGGGGTCTAATATTTTACCATATTAGAGGGTATTACGGACTATAAAAGGACCCCCTTGCAGGTGTATATCCCTTACCCAGACAAGACTCCAGTTTGTTCGCCCCCCTTTCATTTTCACCCGTATTATTATTCAATTTCACACTTCCAATTTCTTTTCATATTAAAGTGGCAATGGATCTGTGTACTCGATTCATTTTTTGTTATCTTCAACCTCCCTACAACAGGGATTACAGTCTCATCAATACAGTGTTCAGTTTTAAACCAAGTCTTGGGAGCCAATTAAACGCATCCAGGTTTGCTTGATGTTTGGGAAAATCTCGCTATTTTAATGAGATTTTCGAGAAGGTCTCGCTACATGCAATGTTGTAGGGTTCGAAACGATCATCTCTATATTCTCATTAGACACTTAATAAAGTGTCTAAGAAATTTAATGTGTCAAGGGGAGGAAATATTGTTGGTGCCAAGGGCAATTGCACAAGCAAGAGGAGAGGAAAGATTCATCGGACGTTAACTAACTGTAGTATCACTAGTTGTAACATCGGGGAATATTATTAGTTGTAAAATCACTAGTTTTAACTAGAGAAGAGGAAAAGCTACCGATTGCCAATTCATTAGTTGTAATGAATTGTAACATACTTAACTCGTTGTAACTCAATCTGTACATCTCGTTATGACTATTTGTTGCATTTTAAATATTAGTTACCATACTTTCAAATTAGTTGTCCCAACAAAATATCATGTTCTTCTGCGAAACTGTTACTTGGCATGTGGTCATGTGAAACCAATCCGAGACGCCAATTGTAACTTCATTTCCATACTAAAGGAGTAATACCTATTGAAGTGCCTATAATACTATCTGTAATACTCATCATTAACACAATTATAAGCCACATGTCTAAGTTTTAACATAGACAAACACGACAAATTGCCTGTACAAGCACATCAATAAGTTGTAACAGTTTATTAACTTCTTGTAACGTACATATGCGGCATTCTCTGGTAGGAACGACATGGCTGCATTTAGTAAATGTTCGTCCACGAACACCACAAATCTGGTGCTAGACACCTTCATGTCTGAAAAATCTGGTGCTAGACACCTAATGTCTGAAAAATCTGGTGCTAGACACCTAATGTTTGAAGTAATTTTAGAATTACAATCAACAAGCATAATTCATTGAGAGATTGTACATTAAAACAAGCTTACAATACGGAACCGATCGAAATTGAGCAATATCTTTTCTAGACAAGTACGAACATCAGTAAATGAGGTGAACTTGGGGACGGAGAGCAACGAACTCAATTGTTTGGAACAACCAATTGTTTTGTATTCATAAAAATTGTAGGTACACATCATTCATCAACCTGCAACTGAGGGGAGTTGATGTCAATAGTTAGTCGCAATCCCAAGGTGTTATTTCTTTCCTGAAATACGTAACGATGACAAATCAGTCAATACAGTTAATGATATATACGGTTAATGATACATACGGTTAATGATAT